GTCTACATCGATTCAGCTAGTCGAGATATGACGATCGGTAATACTTAAAGGTGGGTCTAGGACCAATATTTCGCGGCGTTACAAACTTTTGGGGCTGCACAAAGCTATAATACCCTGACAACATAGTTGTGTAGGATATAAAAATGGCTAAGAGAACATATAATTCTTAATTCGAAAATTGATAAAATATTATTAAACCAGTAAGGAAAGTAATAAAGTCGAACTGGGCCGACTATGTGATACCCTTCACCACTTTGGGAATATTCTACATATGTATCCTAAAAGACGTCGCCTTTTTGAAGGAGCATTGAACGAACTTAAATATGTGATCTTAATCTATATCTGAACCGACTAACATTAATCCCGACACATGCAACATTGTGCAACCTATGTACTGTTTAAAATTTAATCTCAATCAGACACCCATTGATTATTTGGTGTACAATTGACATGAATAAGTCAATAGAGTAACTTCGGGTAATGCGGACTATGCGTCTAATGTGGACCACCCCCCATATCTAAGAAAATGCTTGAAATATGTCAATACCGCCTTGATAAATGTTTTCCTAATTAGTTTGGAAACAAACATCAAACTTGGTTTTTAATAAATAATTGCAATGTTGAAAATGTAGTAGTAGGAAATGTAGCTATGATAGTAAAAGTGTGATTTGAAAATTTTTTTAGCACAATAGTCGAACGTTTTTGCAATATAGTCGAACACTTTGTTTTTCTCGAATATAAAGAAGTTATGCGGTTTTCTTTTTTTTTTTAACAAAAATATACGTTTACGCTATAATTACAATCGGTGATTTTTAATTTTTATTCATTTTTGGAGCCGATAATTATTCTTAAATAAATATATTCAATGTCGGGTAATGTGGACCACAATAAAAAAGTGAGACTTTTTCATGAGGATGGGGTTGGAAACATGGGCGCATTTAATATACGAGGAGGTATTCTATCCTCTGAAAACTCGATATACGAAATTATAGGTACTTCAGTTGGATAATGAAGCAAGGACCTTCAAAATACCGCAAATGGGGCGGTACCCTTAAATGGGGGGCTATTTCAAAACATGAACCCATATATTTTTGCATTCATTGTTACCCAAATCCACAACCTACCTTTAACTTACTGATCCTCATTACCCACACATACTGGCCCACATTACCCGCCATGTTATTTTTATTCGCAGTATATATTTTTTGTAATAGAATGCATCAATATTTTTATAGACAGATATATATATATAATGTTTGACCTGGAATATATTTAGCCAACAGATGTACTATGTAGTGAAAACAATTTGTTCTTATTTTTTGCCGCTGTTACGCCAACAATTTCAAAAAAAGGTAAATGGTGGTCCACATTACCCGAAGTTACTCTATTATATATGGAACGTATACTATATCTATATCTGAACAGATTTCAAGGAAACTTGCCAGCGATTAATTTGAGTAAGTTGTGTCAATCGGCCTAGGTACACCATTTACTTAAAATCGGACGAAAATATATATGGGAGCTACATCTTCATCTGAACCGATTTTCACGAAACTTAGCATACATCATTCTATACTTAATTTAGTACGCTATGCCAAAATTCGTGCTAATCGAATGATTTTCAGGGACTTTGGTGCACCATCGGGCGAAACTACATATTGAAGCTATATCTAAATCTGAACCGATTTTCACGAAACTTGGCATATATCATACTAGACTTAATTTAGTATGCTGTGCCGAAATTCATGCAAATTGAATGATTTTCAGGGACTTTGCTGCACCATTTAGCTATATCTAAATCTGAACCGATTTTCCCCAATTTCAATAGGGTTCTTCCCTGGGCCAAATAAGTGACTTGTGCCAAATTTCATACAAATCGTATTATAAATGCGACCTGTACTTTGTTTACAATTTAACATTAACAGACGGTCGGAAGGGCATGCATAAATCGACTTAGAAAGTGATTCTATGCATATTCTCAAAAGGAACCACAGGTCTATCTCGATTCCTTTTGCCTGTTACAAACATATGTACAAAGACATAATACCCCGTACCACAGTGTGGTGAAGGGTATAAAAAGCCACGCCTTATTTTGGCCCTTAAAAATATTTTTAAACCAGTGAGCGGAGCAGTATAGTCGGACGGGGCCGATCATACGATACCATACACAACTACCACGGAACTCTAACTTTCTGCAAAGTTTTATTCCGAGCCTGGGCAATATTTCGTTTCTTTATACTGACGTATTTTCCGAATATTACTAATATTCAGTACAGTCCTTTTAGCTATTTGTCCATATTCCCTTCACCGTGGGTTGTGTTGTGATGTTCGGCTTATAATTGTGGCCTAAAGATGGACTAGAAAAAAAAACACATAAAAGTTATGTTTTCTGCCCACTTCATCCCAAAATTATTATCTAATAATCACCGCTATAATTAGCGGAACCTCGTGGAGTTTTTCAAAGCGATCAGCGCTTTATTTCCGCCCTACAGTGTCGGGTTAATAAATTATATATTAATACGTTAGCCCCTGTTAATATTTAAGTGTAATTTAAATGTCAACCACTCCTTTTGGATATTCTATCAACTTCTCGGGCCTATGTCCTTCAGGAGTAAATATATACGCTATAGAATACAAATTTTATAATTTTTCACACAAAAGTCAGGGTCCATTTGACCCGCTAAATATTGACCGATCTTTATCAAAACAGGCATGCTTATTCTTTGGCCCGATCTCCTTCTCCATGTAAAAATTCGCGAAGTTTGGGCCATAATTGCGGCCTCTGGAGCGACAAGAAAAACCAACAAAATTAAGTTTTTGGTCCATTTCATCCTCTAAATATTAGCCGATCTTTTCGAAAAACAATAGGGTTCTTCGTTGGCCAGAACCCATCCTACATGCAAAATTTCGTGATGATTGGTCCATAACTGTGGCCTGTATCGTGTTTACAAAATAATAATGGACAGACGGACGAACGAACGGACACACATGTCTAGATCGACTCAGCTAGTCGAGATATGATGATCGGTATACTTAAAGGTATATTTCGCGGCGTTACAAACTCTTGGGGCTACACAAAGCTATAAAACCCTGACAACATAGTTGTGTAGGGTTAAAAAATATTAAAAAAAAATATTTTTGAAGAATCCACGCCATATATTGATTTAAAAAAATAATTTAAAAAAATCCACGCCTTATTTTGGCCCTTAAAAATACTTGTAAAATATTCACGCCTTATTTTGGCCACGCCTGGCACTTGAAAAATATATCTTGAAAAATTGTATATGGCCCTTTCTATTACTATAATAATTTAGCTACAATGTATAAACAACAACAAAAAAATTCCCAAAACATAAAACAACAAATGCATTTCAATTTTGAATATGTTCACTTATGACGCTAATCATTATTAAAATATTTACCAAAATCTGGGACACCTAATTTTTTTGGCTTGTTGGTGGCCATAAATCGTTTCAGATTCAGATATAGGTCCCCTATATATTTTCGTCCGTTTTTATGTAAATGGTGCACCAAAGCCTCTGAAAATCATTCGATTAGCACAAAATTTGGCACAGCGTAATGAATTAGGTCTAGAATGATGTGCGTTAAGTTTCATGAAAATCGATTCAGATTTAGATATGTAGCTCCCATATATATTTTCGCCCGATTTAAGGTAAATGGTGTACCAAAGTCAATATATATCTTTCGATTTGCAAGAAATTTGGCATAAGGTACTGTATTAGATCCATTATGATGTGTGCTAAGTTTCGTGAAAATCGGTTCAGATTTAGATATAGCTTCCATACATAGTTGTGTCCGATTTTATGTAAATGGTGCACCTAAGGCCCTATATATCTTTCGATTTGCACGAAATTTTGCATAGTGAACTGAATTGAGTCTAGAATGACTTGTGTTAAGTTTCATGGAAATCGGTTCAGATTTACATACACCTCCTATATATATTTTCGTCCGATTTTAAGTAAATGGTGCACTAAAGATCCATAGCCATATATTGATTTAAAAAAATAATTAAAAAAAAAAACCACGCCTTATTTTGGCCCTTAAAAATACTTGTAAAAAATGCACGCCTTATTTTGGCCACGCCTGGCACTTGAAAAATATATCTTGAAAAATTGTATATGGCCCTTTCGATTACTATATTAATTTAGCTACAATGTATAAACAACAACAACAAACAAAAACCCCAAAACATAAAACAACAAATGCATTTCAATTTTGAATATGTCCACTTATGACGCTAATCATTATTAAAATATTTACCAAAATCAGCGACACCTCATCTTTATGGCTTGTTGGTGGGCTGGCTCGATTTCGGTGATGAATGAGACCGCCTGCAAGTACGTACGTCCACAATGTCTATGTAAATATGTATGAATGATTTTTTTTAAAACGAAAAATAGCTTCGTCATTTTGAAACTATGCACAATTTCGCCCTGAGTTCATTTCATTTTCAAGAGAAAAAAAATAAAACCAAATTACCAAAATAATAACAAAAAATAAATAATTAAAATAATTTGTAGCCTGGCGCACAGTACAAACATACATACACTTTTACAGATAATGATAATTATGATATTTATATTAGCCTTAATCTTTCTTGTACAAACATACTTACACACACATTGGCTAGAAATTTTGCACACCGAATAAAAATGACAGCTGTCTAGGAATGTCAATTAGGATGTCTGAATATGGTGTAATGTCTAAACACATTCTAATTTGTCTTTTTAGAGAACAAGAACAGAGTGTGTGTGAGTTTTATTTTTAATTTATTTTTTTATTGCATTCTTTAATACATCATAAGTTCATTTCATTTATTTCTTTTTAAATCACAACAATTTGTAATCACTTAGTTGCCTAACTAATTAAAATAAAAATAAAAACAACAAAAAACAAAAGAAATACTATTTAGCAAAATACCACTAAATATGCCGCCTCCGACTCCGGCTTCCCCTCATAATTTTCGTACCACAAATTCCCTCTCAAAGATTCTCCTCGGTTATCAACTTCTTGAGAGTACAATCTCCAGCTCCCAATTTTTCCAACAGCTCCAACAGTTCAGCTCTATAACGATCTTTACATTTGATCTGTTCTTCGGTAAACTCTTCTGTGGTAGGTCGGGACATTCTCCAAATGACATTGAGTTTAGCCTCGACTAGCACATAATTGGATGGCGGACAAAAGCGTGGACACATTTCATTAATGAAGGTTATCATATCACTGACACTGCAGGCATTAATACGATTGTTGATTGTATTCAAGGCAAAATCCTGATATCGAGCCATTTTCGAATGGGGAAATACTGTTTCACAGGTAAGGCAACGCCAATCCGGTTGTAGGGTTTTAGTTTGCACCGGTATCACAATACCCTTACAGCCTTGTTCGCGGCAGAACAGAGCCGAGAGATAGGTACCATTTTCCTGAAATGAGAGAGAGAAAAAATAATTTGTAATTAAATTGGAAATATTCTCTTCAAAAAAAAAAAAAAAAAAAACAGTAGGGAAAGTAGTAAAGTCGGGCGGGGCGACTATATGATACCATTCACCACTTTGGGTACTTTCAACAGATGGAATCCTAACAGACGTCGCATTTTTGAAGGACTTTAATGCTCCATTTACATAAAATCGGACGAAAATATATGGGAGCTATATCTAAACCTGAACCGATTTTCACGATATTTAACACACATCATCCAATCTTTAAGTCAGTATGCTAAGCCAAATATCGTGCAGATCGAAGGCTATATATGGACTTTGGTGCATCGTTTACATTAAATTGAATGAAAAAATATTTAGGAACTATATCGAAATCTAAACCGATTTTCACGATATTTAACACACATCTTTCTAGACTTAATTCAGTACGCTGTGCCAAATTTCGTGCAAATCGAAGGATATATAGGGACTTTGGTGCACCACATACATAAAATCGGACGAAAATATATATGGGAGCTATATCAAAATCTGAACCGATTTTCACGAAATTTAACACACATCGATCTAGACTTAATTCAGTAAGCAGTGCCAAATTTCATGCAAATCGAAAGATATATAGGGACTTTGGTGGATCATTTACATTAAATCGGACGCAAATATATATGGGAGCTATATATAAATCTAAACCGATTTTCACGAAATTTTACACACATCGTTCTAGACTTAATTCAGTACGCTGTGGCAAATTTCGTGAAAATCGAAAGATATATAAAGACTTTGGTGCACTATTTACCTAAAATCGGGCGAAAATATATATGGGAGCTATATCTAAATCTGAACCGATTTTCATGAAACTTAACATACATCGTTCTAGTCTTAATTCAGTACCATGTGCCAAATTTCGTGCAAATCGAAAGATATATATAGGGACTTTTGTACACAATTTACCTTAAATCGGACGAAGATATATATGAGAGCTATATATATATCACAAAAATACATGGACTGACGGATGGACGGACATACGTAAATCGACTCAGAAAGTGATTCTGTGCATATTCTCAAATGGAACAATGTGTCTATCTCGTTTCCTTTTGCCTGTTACAAACATATGCACAAAGACATAATACCCTGTGCCACAGTGTGGTGAAGGGTATAATTAGCGATGTTTGTGTCATAATTGCGGCCTCATAATCTAGGCCTTTATTGGAAAATATACAGCCTTAAGATTTTATCTCTTTAAAAATATTTATCAGTTTTTATTTTGTTTGTAAAACGTATGACTCGCTCTATTTCCGATCATTTTTTTTTTTTGCATAACATTTGTTTCTTTCGTAGGATGACGTCTTTATGCTTAAGTGATTTTTTATGTTTGATTCTATGAAATTCGCTATGTCTATACATACATATAGAAAACATACATTTGTCAATTTATCGACGTCATTAAAAGTTTTTCTTAAAAAAAAAAAAACAAAACAAAAAACAATAACAAACAAATAATTAAAATATGTAGTCCAGGAGTTTGTCTGATAAGCAAGACCCACCGCATCTTATTATAAATTACTTAAAATATTTCAAATTCTTTGCTGAATTCTGAAAGAAACAAAAGTTGAGGATAAATACATATCAAATTTTTGTGAACAGTGGCGATCATTTATTCAGGGACTAGGTAATGGAAAACATGAACTATAAAAATAATAGATTTCTTTTGGACATTTAAATTTTTATTATTTTAATGTTGAAATTCAATTTTTTTTTTTATAAAAATACAACCGACCCCTAGCCTCAAATTCAACATACATAGAATAGCCAATCATTATTTATACATTTGCGCCATCGAAAAAAGTTCACTGATTGTTTTGTTCCTTGGTCTACCTCTTCTTTAAGTTTACATTCATTTACATATATGTATGTATGCATTTAATTAAAAACAACAACAATTTCTCTGTCCACCACCACCAACCAGCCAGCCAACCACTACAGTCAAGACCAACAAATAATTAACATATCACAAAAGTGTTCAAGTAAAACTGCATTAACATAAACTACAACAACAACAGCGTCCACAGCAACAACAACAAAGCAAAATTTACATGCGAAAATGTTTCATTCGTGTAATTTATTGTTTTCTATTCAAAACAATTTGTGTATTCTTATACCAGTACTTAGCTGTTGTTTGTGTTGTTGTTTTTTGCTTTTACCATGAATGAATAAAAGAATAAGAGCATTTGATGTCATCATGCAACGCCACTTTGAAGCACTTGCACCCCATCTAATGGATGGCGGTTAAGCAAGGCAGACCCCCACAACAACAAGAAAAGCAGCAACACGCAAGTGTTGCTAATATAACAAAAAACTGCCATAACTATAACACAATGGAGGATGAGGGTTGTACAACAATAACATTAACATATATTAACCATAAGTACTAAAAGGTTAGGGTCAGACTTTATTATTTATTCCCAAAGGTACCTAGAAAATGATTTGTTATCGTACTGAAAGAATCTACTATTTTCTTACTATTTAAAAAAAATTTACCGTAGTAAAAAATTTACATCCTTGTAGGTTCTGCAACAGACTATAGTCTCAAAATATGCAAGCCTCTGAGCACATCAGAAAAATATTATAAAACCAGTGAGCGGAGCAGTATAGTCGGACGGGGCCGACCATACGATACCCTACACAACTACCACTGAACTCAAATTTTCTACGGATGTGTATTCCGAGCCTAGGCAATATTTCGTGATATTTGCACACTCTTGCCCGATTAGAGGTAAACAGCACCTCTTCCTTACACTGACATATTTTCCGAATATTACGAGTATTCAGTACAGTTATTGTCCAGATTCCCTTCACCGTGGGTTGTGTTGTTGTAGATCAATTCGAAAATAACACAAAAAATTAAGTTTTCGGTGCACTTCATTCCAAAATTATTAGCTGATCATCACCGAAAATTATAGGCGTAGTCCTTGACCATAACTGGAACCTCATGGAAAATTTTAAAGCGATCAGCACTATATTTCTGTCCTCTAGTGTGATAAAGGGTTACTAAATAATATATGAGTTCGTAAGCACCTGCAAATATTTAAGTGTAACTCCCACATCCGAGTACATAATTGATATCAATTTAAAGGTCAACCACTCCTCTTGAATGTACTAACAACTTCTCTGCTCTATGTCCTTCAGGGGTAAATTAATACCCTATAGAATACACATTTTGCAATTTCTCACACAAAAGTCAGAGTCCATTTGACCAGCTAAATATTGACCGATCTTTATCAAAACAGACATGCTTATTCTTCCCTTCTCCATGTAATGTTTGGGCCATAATTGCGACCTCTGGAGCGACCAGAAAAACTGACAAAATTAAGTATTTGGTCAATTTTATCCCACAAATATTAAAATATTTTTACCAAAAACAATAGGGGTTTTCATTTGATAGAACCCATCCTACATGCAAAATTTCGTTAAAATTGTTCCATAACTGTGTTTACAAATTATAATGAACAAACGGACGGACAAACATGTCTAGATCGAGATATGCTAGTCGAAATATGACGATCGGTATACTTCGATCGGTATACTAAACGATTAGTCAAAAGTCGATTTGAGGACTTATTTATAAATTTAGATTTATGTGATTAATTGTTACTAAAGGTATTTTTATTGAAATATTTATCCCATTTTTTTTTTTTGAAAATATTTTTTTTCAATTCGATAATTTGTATACCCTACACAACTATGTTGTCAGGGTATTAAAGCTTTGTCCAGCGCCAATAGTTTGTAACGCCGCGAAATATTGGTCCCAGACCCACCTTTATGTATACCGATCGTCATATCTCGGCTAGCTGTGCCAGTCCGTCTGTCCATTATAATTTGTAAACACGATACAGGCCACAGTTATGGACCAATATTCACGACATTTTGCATGAAGAATGTGTTCTGGTTAATATTTAGAGGATGAAATGGTCTGTTTGTCTGTTTTTTTTTTTTTTTTGTCGCTCTAGAGGCCACAATTATGACCCGAACATCACGAAATTTTACACAGAGAGAAAAGTTTGGCCATATAATAAGCATGTTTGTTTTGATAAAAATCTGTCAATATTTAGCAAGAGGTTTCAAATATCACGAAAAATTGTTTAGATTCGGAATAAATATCCGCAAAAAGTTAGAGTTACGTGGTAGCTGTGTAGGGTATCTGTTATGAACACATGCTATATTTTGTTTCGATCTGGCAACTCCTTCATATAGAAACAGGTGTTCAAAAAGACGCATCCGCAATTTTGTACAATGGAAAAATTAGAAATGCGTGCTTTCATTGTAAAAAAATGGGCTGCGTCGTTTTTAAACACCTGTTTCTATATGAAGGAGTTGCCAGATCGAAACAAAATATAACATGTGTTCATAACAGAGATGGATGTTTCCAAAAAACTTAACTTTTTCCTAATTATACCGCACTTTTTTGTGCTAGGCTAAGAACTGATTGATTTAACGCCCAGACGAAACGGGCAAAGCTAGAATCTCGAAATTTTTGGATGATTGTCACTCATAGCCCAAATGTGTTAGAAATATGGTACCATTTATATGTAGAGCTAAAATTATGAAATTTGGATTGAAGGTTATTTATAAAGTGTAGGATAAATGTACCAAAAGGGTTTTGTAAATTCCACCTACATGTATCCGAAAAGTTCTGAAATGTGATAAATTTGTTAAAAATTCCTAGCATGTTGACGGATATAGCTAAAAACTTGAAATTTGGAAGGAGGTGCTTTTGTGTACTGATGTATACGAAAGGTGCTTTTGAATGCGTGTGCTCATGTATACGAAAAGTACTGGTGGAACGGTTGGACCTGGAATTTGAAATTAACATTACTGTCGAGTATAGGATTGGCACATATATTTAGTTTCGGAAATGATTTATTTATGTGTAAAAAAAAGTACTAAATCGTACTAAAATTGGTACAATTTGGATATGGGGGGAACCGATCGAGCTGGAACACTAAATTTGAAAAAAAGTTACTGTTGGAGTGTACGATTGTGGTATGTATGTAGATTGGAAATTCGTACTAATGGATACTAAATGGTACCAAATTTGGTAAAATTTGAATTTTGGGTCAACCGATAGAGCTGAAATTCGGTGTTAGGATGACGGGTCAAGCTGAAATTCTGAAAATTGGAAGTAAGATTAGTATTGAAGTGTAGGTTTGGGATATGTAGGAAGTTTTGGAAATTAGGATTTATGTGTACGAAATTGTACTAAATTTAAATTTGGGAGAACTGAAATTTAGTAATGGAAATTTATATTAATGTATACAACATTTTTCAAAATTTGGATTGAAAACATCCTGGAATAATAGCAAATATGTGTCAATTTCAATTTCTCGGTGTCAAAATGTTAATTTAGTTTTTTTATTTTTAATTCGAATCTACACTAAGTCAAGAATGTCCCTACAAAATGTCAAGTAAAAATCTCAATGACTATTGAAGATATAGCCGATTTATTATGTCAGCATTGACGGTAAGAGTGATTCTCAAACATTAAACGCATTATTCTCTCAGCAGTTTTTTACGAATGGTGGGTACGATAACTCAAAAAATAATAATCCAATCGGTTCGAAATTTTGACACGTTTCTCTGGGAGTGCTAGCAATAATGCTAGTTCATACGAGAGCCAGAAATTTCCGGATACCGATGTTCCAGTGATCTGTTAAATCTTCAATTATATTATTCATTATTAAATATTGAGAGCTCCTTCGTGATTTTAACAGAAAATTTGTTATTCTAATCAAGAATACATATATTATTTATGGGGTCTCTGTTTAATATTTTGAGGTGTTGTAAATGGAATGATACATTTAAAATATAATTTAATATACACTCCATCGTGTCGTGGAGGATATAAAAATCCTTGAGGATATTAGTTAATGCATCGATTTTTATTGGCGCGTCCTAGTTATTCTATAACATCAACCTCAATACATCCTCTAAAAATGGTTACAGTATTATATCAACATATTTTTAATAAATTATATAGAATACTCCTACAATATTTTATAATAATAACAATATAAAATCTCTAATTTTTTTTTTAACAAATTTTGGTGTTTAAATACTTTGTTTATAAATATGTTCAAAAAAAATAAATAAACTTCCTTCAGAAATATCGGTTAGTTTGTTTAACTTGTCTCAATTATTTAGAAAAAAAGTATTTTTTAACAAATGTCCATAATTTGTACTCATCAAAGCAAACACAAATGAAAACACTTAAAAATCGCTGCAATGACATGTCAAAATGGTCTCCAAAAAAATGTAGGGCATCGACGAAATTGACTGACAGACAATTGACAGTGGAAATGTTTTTAAAAAAAATATATATATGTATATGTATATTGTAATTCTAGAGGGGAACACTTTTAGAAAAAAAAAAATATTTTTAGAAAACAATACGTCAAAGTATTTCAAAAAACCGGAAGTAAAATTAAAATTCGTGAAATGTGGATTTCATTCAAACATATTTTTAATTGTTAAGAAAATATTTTTTCAATGGAATTGTTTTTAGATTATGATAACCATAATTTACGAATTTTCATTCATGTTGAAATCATTGCAGCTTAGTCCCTAACCGGATCCGCATTCTTTAAGAGAACCGTAATTTTATAATTATTTACACATCAAATTACCTTCAAATCATCCCTGCTTATTAGACCCTTTCCATATCTCCCTTCCCGTTCGGGTCATAATTGTAGCCTCTAGAGCGGCCAGAAAAATAGTCAAAAAATGTCCCCCCCCCCCCCCCCTTTTATAAGGGATGGACAAACGGACACATATAAATAAATGATGGGACTAGGTGCAATATTCCAAAATTTTAAGCAACTCCACGCCAAAAAGATCTTTTCAAAAAGGACTTTTAAACCCTACACAACTATGTTGTCAGGGTATTATAGCTTTGTGCGGACCCAAGAGTTTGTAACGACACTAAATATTGGTCCTAGACCCACACTTTAAGTATACCGATCGTCATATCTCGACTAGCTGAGTCGATCTAGACATGTGTGTCCGTCCATCCGTCTGTCCATTATAATTTGTAAACACGATACAGGCCACATTTATGGACCAATCTTCACGAAAATGTGCATGTAGGATGGGTTCTGGCCAATAAAGACCCCTATTGTTTTTGGTAAATATCGGTTAATAGTTAGAGAATGAAATGGACCAAAAACTTTATTTTTGTCTGTTTTCTGGTCGCTCCTGAGGCCATAATTAAGGCCCAAACATCGTGAATTTTTAAATGGAGAAAGGGATCGGACCAAAGAATAAGCATGCCTGTTTTGATAAAGATCGACCTTTTGTGGGAAAAATGGCAAAATTTGCATACTATGGTGAATATATTTACTCCTGAAGGACATAGAGCCGATAAGTTGATAGTATATACAAGAGGATACCAATTATATTTTCATATTTATTCGGATGCAGGAGTTACACTTAAATATTTACCTATTCAGATATTATTTAGTAACATACCTACTCAGATATTATTTAGTAACCTACCTACTCAGATATTATTTAGTAACCCACTATCACACTAGAGGGCGGAAATATAGCGCTGATCGCTTTTAAATTATCCATGATGTTCCAGTTATGGCCAAGGACAACGTGATGAACAGATTATAATTATGAGATGAAGTGAAGCGAATACTTAATTTTTTCTGTTTTTTTCGAGTCGATGCCAATAATAGGCCGAACATTACAACACAACCCACGGTGAAGGGAATCTGGACAATTAATTAGAAGGGCTGTACTGAATATGAACAGTAATATTCGGAAAATATGTCTGAGTAACGATGAGGTGCTGTTGGCCTCTAATCGGCCTAGCTGGAGCAAATATCACGAAATATTGCATAGGCTCGAAATAAACATCCGCAGAAGTATATAGTTCCGTGGTAGTTGTGTAGGGTATCGTATGGTTTAAATCTGGTTTAAATCTATGCTCCTATCCTTGAACAAATATTCTTAAAAGAGGATCATGGCTCCTTGAAAATACAGATTATTTATAGACATTAGAAAATCCTTGCTTATGAAAAAATGTTATGCTTAACACCATGACGCCCGCAATTAAGAGACAAAAAAGTCGGCACTTTATATGAAAACTATATTAAAACTTTGACCATTATATGGAACATTTTACAATGTCTGCCACAAATTTTTCTTTTATAGCTTATATTAGAAAATGCCGATAGGGGCTTTAACATATCGAAATTGCGACGGGACCTTTATATGGGCCTATGTCAAAACGTAGATTTATATTGAACCCAAGAACCCGAAATACCAAATTACAGACGATAGATTAAAAACTTTAAAATATCAAAAAAGGGGAGATTACCCTTCCGTGAGTTCCATACCAAAACGTTGACAGAGATGTACAATTTTCTATACCAAATTTCCTGGAGGTAGGAGAAATGTAGGGCAAATTTCTATGATTTTACAAAATCTATCGTGATTCAAAAGACTGACCGGTATGAAATCATCAATGATCTAACCTCATAGAGCCTTTTACGATTTTTTCGAGTTGTTGCAAACGGAATAAAAAATTAAATATATACTCCACCTTATGTCGTAGGTTACACATATCTACGCCTATGGCAATAATAATAAGGCTAATGCCTGGTTGAAAAAATTCCCACGAAAATTATGCATAACCAACACGCTTGTGTGTTATAGCATTCATTGAGATAATGAAATTAATATCACACCTACTATTACCAGCATTACTACTATATTACATTACAGCAGAAACACAAAACAACAACAAACACAACAAACACACAATAAACATTCCATAACCTTCCTCATATTCTCCTCCTCCTGCTTCTGCTACCAATCGTCCCAACAGGGAAACCATAAAAATGATGTATTACCACAAAACCACGTTTTGGGTGGCTAATTTAATTATACACTTTCACTGTTCACTTTTATGCGTAGTTAGTGAGTGGCCTAGTAACCCTAGCCTCCTCATCCTACTCAAAACCACCAACCATTCCCTCACTCCACTCCACTTACCGTATTGTCATTGCAACGCTTGCAATCGCATATAAAATTTTTCGTCATTTTGAGAAAAATGCATCTGGTCAAATTACTCCACAGTATCTTGGTGTATGTGGTGGTCACCTCACCGCCCTGGGGAATAAAACGTGCAGCACGTACCACAGCCATGCGGCCATTATCGAAGTAATGGCTGGCATTGGGAGTGCATTCATGGTTCATGACCGCAGTCAGTGGGAATAGGCCACGCAACAATATCTCATGATCCCCCACCCGGCAGGGTGCCTCAAAGGCATTCGTATTCAACACGCCCACAATTCGAAATAGCTTATCCATATAGGGTTTATCGGTGGTGGGGAATTTTCGAAAACATTGTGCCGCCTTGATTATCTCGCCGCGATAACATTTATCATCGTTCGCCTGCATTGCCTGGACGAGGGCTCGCTGATCCGGCTGTAGGAAAAAGACACGCACTGCGGTCAGAATGCGCAACGACATGGCATTGACGGGACAACAATCATCCGCATCATCCATGCCCTTATGTAAATCTTTCGGTTGCCAACGCCGGAACAGTTCACATTCGTTGCGGTGCTGCTCCGAATCACTGCATTTATCACAGACTGGTAGGGTGCAGTTGTTTTTGCATAGGAAGTCCTTGACCGCCAATAATTTATGACAGCAGACACAAGTGTTCAGTATGGAGCCTTTGCGTGCTGTGGGCCCCACGACCAGAGCACGCTCGCGAAATATCAGTTCACCTTGTTGGATGTCGCGTGTGGCAAATACACCACGTCCGGCCATTGGTGATGGGCCTATTGTCCAGTTGGGCTCAGGGTCACGTAAATCCGCCAAATGCAGGTCAACGAGGCGAGCCAATTCAGCTGGTGTCGCCATTGTTGTTGGTGCTGTTGTTGCAGCCGCGGATGATGGCTTCAACCTTAAAACTTCAACGACGACGACAACACCACAAACTCACGAATTTCGTTGCTGCTGCTGTTGATGATGACGGACAATTTGTTGTTTGGACAAAAAATCTCTCACATACATCTAGTAGTAGTAATGGTCATTTGTGTGTATGTTTGTTTGTCACTCCGTCCGCGTGTGTGTGTGTGTGAAATGTTTGAAAATTTATATTTTTTCGTTGTATGAATTTCTGTTGTTTTGGCCGGTTGTTTGCCCGTTCTCGTTTTTGCTCTTTTTAAGAGTGTACCGCACGACGCGAGTTGCAACAGATAACTAAGCGGCATAAATATTTCTTCGACAATTGGCCTCTGGTTTCATCCGCAATAGCGTGTTGTTGTAGTTCTTCACAGGCAACGGTCAGAATATTAGGAAAGGGAATGAAGTGAATTTCAAAAACCATAAAAATATATTTTTTCAATAATTTTTAAGGAATTTTTTTTTTGTTTTTTTTTTTTTTTTTTTTTGAAAAAGGACTTTTCAAAATGTTTTATGAAAAAAATATTTTTAAAAAATCCGACCCGAAAAAATATATCGACGCATATGAAAAATATATTCTTTAATAAATCCACGCCTTGTTTGAGTCCTTTAAAAGATATTCTTAAAAAATCGAAAAAATATTTTTAAGAAATTCACGCTTTGAAAAAATTAAAAAATATATTTTTAAAAAATCTACGCCATGAAAAAACTCGAAATTGTTATACCCTACACCACATGGTACAGGGTATTATGTCTTTGTGCATATGTTTATAACAGGCAAAAAGAATCGAGATAGACCCATGGCTCCTTTTGAGAATATGCATAGAATCACTTTCTGAGTCGATATATGCATGTCCGCCTGTCCGTCCGTCCATCTGTCTGCCCATGTTAAATTGTAAACAAAGTACAGGTCGCATTTATGATTCGAATTGGATGAAATTTGGGACAGTTCATTTATTTGGCCCAAGGCGAATCTTATTGAAATTGGGAAAAATCGGTTCAGATTTAGATATAGGTCCCATATATATTTTCGTCCGATTTAATATAAATGGTGCACCCTATATATCTTTCGATTTGCACAAAATTTGGCACAGAGTAGTGAATTAGTTCCAGAATGACGTGTGCCAAGTTTCGAGAAAATCGGTTCAGATTTAGATATAGCTTCCATATATATTTTCGCCCGATTTTTGGTAAATAATGCACCAAAGTCCCTATAAATCTTTCGATTTGCACGAATTTTGGCACAGCGTCCTGAATTATGCTAAGAAAGATGAATGTTAAATTTCGTGAAAATCGGTTCAGATTTAGATAGAGCTCCCATATATATTTTCGTCCGATTCTAGGTAAATGTTGCACCAAACTCCCTATATATCCTTCGATTTGCATGAAATTTGGCATAGCGTACTGAATTATGCCTAGAAAGATGTGTGTTAAATTTCGTGAAAATCGGTTCAGATTTAGATATAGCTCCCATATAAATTTCGTCCGATTTTATGTAAATGGTGCACCAAAGTCCTTTGTATCTTTCGATTTTCACGAAATTTAGCGTAGCATACTGAATTAAGTCCAGATATATGTGTTTTAATTTCGTGAAAATCGGTTCAGATTTAGATATAGCTCCCATATATATTTTCGTCCGATTTTATGTAAATGGTGCACCAAAGTCCCTATATATTCTTAAGTCTAGATATATGTGCAAATGTTGCACCAAAGTCCCTATATATCTGTTTTTAATTTCGTAAAAATCGATTCTGATTTAGATGTAGCTATCATATCTATTTTCGTCCGATTTTTTGTAAATGGTGCACCAAAGTCCCTATATACCTTTCGATTTGCACGAAATTGGGATTTATAAGTAAATGAAGCACTGAAAATGTGGCCGAATGCACAAAACATACTGAAATAAGTGTAACCTAACATGTGACAAGTTTCGATGTAGTCGGATTAGGTTTCGATATTTTGCTTTAAATTTATTTACATATGGCCTGTTCCAGAACCTGCAAGAATGTACAATTTTTTACAACGATAACAATTTTTCCTATATGATAGTCAAAATTAGTAGATTCTTGCAGTACGGGAACAGGCCAATAATTTTGTCCCATTGTAAGAAGCAACTCTATATCGGACCAAAATTTTTTTCTATTCAATTCAATTTTATTTCATAAATGAGAACCTAGCCCAAAGGGCCATGAACGATCCCAAAAACTTCATTACATGGACTCCAACAATTTTGTATAGGTTGCAGAATTTTGTTTAATTTCATGTTAATGGTCCTTCAAAAATGCGACGTCTGTTAGGATTCCATCTGTTGAATATACCCAAAGGGTGTCATATAGTCGGCCACGTCCGACTTTACTTCTTTCCCTACCGTTTTTTTGTTTTGTTTAAAATCCAACCCTTGGAAAAACACCCGTAATAACCTCCTGACCGCAGCCTGTTCGTGTCGCAATATTTTCCTCATAAAGATGGACAGAGTACACATTCAACACTGTACACATATCCATACATACTATACACACATCCAAACCCAAATGTGTGTATGTATGTACGTACATACATATATATGGTATCTGCACTCGCTAATGTTTGAAAATATGCTTAAGCTTAAAAGTGCAGAAAATTACGCGTGAAAGACCAGAGGAAAAACTACAACTGCTGAAAATTACCACACAACAAGGCGAAAAAAACACAACACCCATAACAGCAACAACAACAACAAAGGGAAAAATAATTGGATGACAAAAATACAAGAACAACAACAAGTCGATATGATATTTGGATAATGACAAAAATTTTTATTTGATTTTCAATATTTGTTTCCCCTCCTCCAAGCGGAATATTTGAGAATTTGGCGTGTACGAAGACAACGACGACGTCAGCATAGCGAGCGGCTGGCTAGGTCGCTCACTGGGCAACTGGCAGGTTATTTATTGTCTCCGTCATTCAAGACATGTTCATTTGCTACATATATTCGGAATTTTTGTCTGGTAAATGAGCAGCTAGACGACTTTGAGATTTTCCCGCCAAATGAAAATGCTGCTGATGTTGTTGTTGCTGTTGTGATGTTGTTGCAATTTGGCCAAGGGAAAAATATTGAAAATGTATGTATTTTTACGATTTTTTTTTTTTTTTGGTTTGTGTCAAGACTCAAAACATCAATTGAAAATAAATTGTCATTTGTGGTTACCACAATTTGCCCTGGCATGTGGAGGAAGAAAGGTATTTTAACACAGGTGTAAGTGAGCGGATATTCATGTCAATTTATAAACATATATATGTACGAGTGTGTGTGTGTTTTTGTATGTCGATGCTCAATGGGTGGCTAAGTGCTTGAAAAAATAAACTTGTGTCATTGTGAATGAAGTGCCAGAAAAGTGTATGTTTATTTTTTGTTGAACGGAAAATCTACTGCATTGACTTCTAGTCATTGTGGCTATGAATTTATTTCACAAGGAAAATTTTTAGGGTATGGAGAGAAAGAAAAATTCACTGAGATCGAATTAATTATTTAAACTACAATAAGACCAACGAATTTATGCTGAGTCAGTTTCAAAGCCGATTTAGAGTCGGAGTGTAACCAGAACCCAAATTCACAGGTTTGAACGTTAAATATTATTTTTAAACAGAGTCTTCTGAAGAAAATTTTTATGAAAATTTAAAGTTTTCTATACAAAGAAAATAAAGTCCATACCTACCTCGAAAATTTTAAGTTGCAAAAAACATCTTTACACGTTAATTTACTCCAATTGTCAGGGTCACAATTTCTTTCATTCCCTCATTGTCTCGCCTAGTTTCATGTTCTGTACTTCATCTTCTGGCCACCCAATCGGGGGAATACAAATGCGGTGAGAACAATGTGTGCGAATAAATTTTTTAAAAAAAAATATTCCTTTGTCCAACAGCGGACATACAACATTAATTTTCATCACTCGTGCTGCATACACGCATGCATACATATGCACACTTTAAAAAAAAAATCGCGCTACTTCAACCAACACACCAATTTATATGCATTGCGGTGTTGCAACATTGTGAAAAATTTCATTTCCCCTTGTGAAATGTAAAAAAAAAAAAATAATAATGAAATGCATTAATTACAATTTGCGTAATTACCTTGATTTATTAATGAAAATATTTTATTTCACAGCAACAAATGATTAACAATGAAAATCGGAAGTTGGTGGATTAATTTTGTAATTGTTTGCGCTTCTGTGGTAAAATCGGAAAATAAAGATTCACGCCTTGTTTGAATCCTTGAAAAAATATTCTTTACTAAATCCCCGCCTTGTTTGAATCCTTAAAAAAATATTCTTTACTAAATCCCCGCCTTGTTTGAATCATTAAAAAAATATTCTTTAACCGCCTTGTTTGAATCTTCCATCAATCAATCCTTGAAAAATATTCTTTAATAAATCCACGCCTTGTTTGAATCCTTGAAAATTATTATTTAACTAGCATATGTCCGCTACTTCGTTAGCGATCGTGAGAATTATTTAAAGATGTCCAAATACATAATTTTGTTTTCACCATACACACCAATATTGACCATAATAAAAATGTTAGTACCATTTAGATCCTTGGGTACCTTATATTATGTATTTCCAAAATTACCTCCATATCTCAAAACTACACACCAATTGTGACCGCAACAGCAATCTAGCTCTATACTAATGTTGGTACCATTTATTTATTACCTTTCGTACTCTTGAAGTACTTATTTCGAAACCAAATTCCAAATTTCATGATTTGAGCTCTATAGGTTCACCCAAATCTAAATTTTACCATATTTAGTACCATTTAAACCAAATTCATATAAATCCAATAAAAAAACATATTTCCCAATTTTAGGATACCAGCCGGATCGCTTCACCTAAATAAAATTGTACCAAATTTAGTGCCATTTAAGGGGACCCCCCATTCTACTGCAAACATTTTTTGATTTAATTCGAATCTACACTAATTCAAGAATGTCCCCACAAAATTTCAAGTGA